TTTAATGTATTTCAATTATTTGTTCCTAGTAGGCTTGTCCAAAATGTTTTTTCATTGCAGGTATGAAGAAATTTTTCGAAAATGCTTAAAAAAGTGTTTTTCTCTACTCATATTTGTTACCATATTGAATATGCTTTGTTGTGCACTCTCAAGTTTAGTTCAAAAAGTAGTCAGCTTATCGAGAAATACTATTATTATTGCTCAAATGACCAACACCATTAATTCTTTTATCGGGAAAGTAAGTTTCAAAACCCCTAATCATAGCTAAAAACAGATTCCATTGCGACGAGATTTTAATACAAGCATTATAGGCGAATTTTGTTTTGAGCAAACTAACTCGTTTTGCAAATATGCGGTCATATCACATAAATTTTCTCAGATTCCAGGACAATCATACTGCACGTATATATTTTCGAATCTGCTTTGAATAACAATCTTTCAATTTGCTTCAAAAAACTGCTATTCTCAATATAAATCGATCTGTAACTCAATCGAAATTGCGTGCGAACTAGTCATGAGATGTGAGGTCACTCAGACAATCATGCCTGAGGTGTTCTAAATTGATTTCACACTTCAAAGTTGGATATCCAGGAGCCACTCGCTCATTCATAGGTAAATCAGCAAATCTCTCGAATTTCACGACCAACACATCAGCTGTTCATTGATTGCCAAAAAAGAAAAGAAAATCAAAACAAATTCTGTAAACAGTCAAGCTTCACCGCAGCTTGCAACAAGCTTATATCTCACTAGCTTATATATCTCTCTATCTCACTTTACTTGACGGTATCGTTCGAAAAACTCGTCCGCCGCAGTAGGGCGGAGCTTCGAGCGAACACGTTATTGCCAGTTCATAACCCCGCGCGCCACTAGTACCAGCTATCGTTCATCTTGACATATACCCTTGCCAAATCGCCTATCTACGCGATCACCGCTTTTTGGAGCTGTTTTCGCACAAAAGCAAACTTTTTGAGCATTTTTTAGTCTAGAATTCATGTAGCGCAAGTTCACTTGTCAGGCGAGTCATGAGTTTGCAAAAAGTCAAATTGTCGACCTAGTTTTGCATGCCAAAAGCCGCGTGGACCCGTTCTATGCACAAATTTTGAAGGATCAAACCGACTCGTCCTTGTGCATAGTGGACCTACATGCTGGTACGGTATGCTATGCAAAATATAGCCGATAGCTTGGATGCCATACACACAAGCACAAAAGACAGACGCCTGGCGCTTTATTATAAGTCATGTACAACACTCAGCAGAGAATTTGGGGTGAGGCTAACCTTTTGCATAAAATTTCCATTAATCAGGTCAGTAGCAGATCACGCTTGACCTACTATCAACTAGGTCTATTGCTCATCCACAAAGTTTCGGTACCCTAATTTGTGGAAACGCTTTTTTGATTACTTTCTCCATCTCATTCAATTGTATGCAAGCGGGTTAGGAAAGAAAATAATTTTCACAATTGAGGTAATTCAGGAGCAACTCGGATAAGTGATTATGAATTATCAAGATTATAAAAGTCTAATCCACAGGAACTCTATAAAAGCATAAATTTTTAGTAGTTTTCAGTGAGTTGTCTTTTTTATCATAAAATCACAAATTCTGTATTATAAAGAGGGAGTACACATACGCACATAAAGGCTCTCGAATGTTCCTGCTTCTGAATACTTTTCGAAATTTTGGTTCTCTTTAGAAAACTGGTTTTGTTGGTGGGAACATTTAAACGAGCTACAGTGAGCTGTTCTAGCAGCCTCGAATAGGTGCATCGTTAAGTAGTCGCTGCCAAAGCAAGTAAGAGGCGTGGCCTGGCGTACCACCAACTGACGGCCGTAAAGTCTTCGCCCCTCGATTGGGGTACCTAGCGCCCGCCTTCCGGTTAAGAGACATCGAAGTTTGCATGTCAAATTAACCTGAATTTTACGAGCCACTGTTCATCTTTGCCTCGCTTAGTACACTCCATCGACGGAATGTGTGTGGCGCAGCAACACTGCGCAATGTCAACTATCGAAGGGCTCGATCGTGCGTGCGAGCAAAATCTTTGCGGCGACCAAGACATGGTCATGAGCAGCATATACTTCAGTTGGACACGTCGTAACGTCGCTTTCTTTTCTTACGACGCCTTTCGGAGATTTACCAGGGCCTTGAAGTCGCTCTCCTCGCCGCTGACAGAAACTTCCATGCATAACGGCCTAAGAGATCGTACTGACTCTTCGGATAATGTAGTCAATGTTTTTGCGTGCTTAGATCACATTGATGTTTTTGAAAGAATGAAGATCTGTTTCTGTGTGTACGTTTTTACTTGATTCCAGGTTTTGTCCTCTACACTATATTTGAAACTCTAAGATGAGGTCAATAGAGATTGAATTCGAAGAGACTTCTCTGGCTAGTCAAAAGAGCTTTTCGACATTAAAAACCAATCCGTGTCAGGCCCTGTCTGAAGCTTGTTCAAGGCAGGTCCGTAATCGCCTCGGACCCTATTAGTCTTAGCAAAAGCTGCGCAAATCGCACATCATGACCATAGAGCTCCACGGCAACTCTGCGTCTCCAAACTTGACACGTTTCGGATCGCGAAATCGCGCGTGATGAATGTCGTGCTACACTATGTGTAGCACAAGGGACGTTGGAAACCGACTTTATTTCATTGCATAATTTGGGGCTAAGCTCTTGTATAGCTTGCGCCAAGTGTTGTGTTTCGCAATTGCGCTTATGCGTACCTCCACATTGTTTATCGTTTGACGTCTTGGTCCTGTATTTTGTATTAAAAGCGGGAGCTATATGGCTACCCCAAAGTACAGGCCCCAAAATTTTTAAATCGTAGATTTCTTTCAAATTTGGTCTATAGGGATAATCTGACATGATGATCAAGAATGTCAAACTTTTCTCGCATTCGTTCTGTGCAGTCAACGCATTCAACTGGGTATATAGTGAGTCAACAATTCAGATTTGCTCAAAACTTCGTATAGGGGCTTCTTCGGCATCCTGTTTACGATTAAGACCTCGGTTGTGTTTGAAGGACCTTTTTGGCTGGGTTCATACTGATCCGTAAGTTCCGGAATACTTCCAGCACAACGCAATGTTCAAGCGCTCTGCTGGAACTGTTTCGAGACTTATAGATCAGTATGAATCCAGCCTTTATTCTAAGTGGGTAATGTACTGTAGCTGTGGCTAGATTTAAGTTTTGATTCGATGCGGTTGACCATATAAATTGCAACATCAGAAAATGCTACTCTGCAAAATACACCATATTTGTGATCAGCGTGCTGAAGCCCCTGCGGGTAGAAAACTACCGGATCTGTGACTTTGACATCGGTGCAGCATACCTTTATATTATAATCACACAGGAAGGGTCTACGTTTTTCAAAATAGGAAAGGCTTGTTTGCCAATCAGCTCTCGTATTCTCCTAGGCCTTGCAAAGAGTGAAATCTCCTTAAATATGCTATTTAGAAGCACAAAAATGAATCTCGAAAAGGTTGTATTGCTCGCAGGTTCACCGCACCCAAATACTTACTGTTTGCCACTCTTTGCTTCGAACAAAGTAATCCAGCGCAGGATAGAAAAGTACGTGGACCCTTTCCGATATAAGAAATGCCATTGTATAGACTTGCGCCTATACGATGGCATTTCTTATATCGGAAAGGGACCAAATGTAGGAAGCAGGAAGCAGATGCGAACTCAGTGAGTTGTTCCATTCTACAGTCGCTGCAGCAACTGCAGTCATGTCGTGGGGGGGGGGGGGGAAGAAAGGAGGGGCAATAGATTGATCATGCGTTGCTGCAGCGAATGCAATGTGAAACAATCCAATGATGCACCATGCGCAGTACCGGTCCGAAACTCAGACAATCGACGGGACCCCTCCGCCGGACCCTCCGAAACTGCCAGAGTCGCGCCGGACCCAGTTGACCAATGAGAGAAGGGCAAATGGGCGGTCCATCGCGGTGACATCACTGGCAGGCAAATGGGAGGCTTCTCCGGCCCTGCTGCAAAGGTCCGCCATTTCTCCGGCGCGACTCTGCCAGATTTGGCGGACTCCGCGCCGGAGAAATTTGAAAGGTCCGCCAAATTTGGGAGAGCCGCGCCGGAGAAAATGGGAGGGGTCCGGAGCAGAAATGGGAGGCCTCCGGAGCAGAAAATGGGAGGTATCCGGAGCAGAAAATGGGAGGTATCCGGAGCAGAAAATGGGAGGTATCCGGAGCAGGCTGCGTATCGATTTGGCGCGTAGCCACGCTGTGAGATTTTGAGACGTTCTTAAATGCGCGCTAATCCAGACTATCTAGTATTGTTGTGATGAAAGTATCGTCTAAGTAGTAAAGTATCGTCTATCGTCTAAGTATCGTCTATCGTCGTAACCAAACCAACTCAAGATATCTGTGTTTACTGGTATGGATCCCATTTACGATACAGAGATTGTTTTCACCGAGAGTTTTGCGCCAAAACCAGTGCGGACATTCGTAGTGAATACTAGTAAGTCACAGCTCTACTTTTTTCTCGAGGTCTCGGGAGTTTTGATTTTTTGATCGTCTTCAGATGCCGCTTTGCATTCCATTAATGCAAATGTTGAGCCATCTTCAGGCGTTTGCACGTTTCCCGCGAACAGTCAGTTCCCTGATCGTTTTATTCTTTGTATGTTCAATTTACACTTTATCACGAGTTATTGATTGGTTGGGCACGGAGCTTATGCGTATGCTTGCGGCGTTTCGCGCATCTGTTATACAAGGGTTTTCAATCTGAGTGTCACGGCCGACGTGGTTCACCCCCTCGAGAGCCGCGTCGCATGGGTCTCTCACGTAGTACACGACCGCACCCGCTAACGCGAAGGCCTTAGCGGATGCGGCCTTGTGCCACGTGAGAGACCCATGCGACGCGGTTCTCGAGGGAGTGAACCACGTCGACCGTGACACTCAGATTGAAAGCCCCTGTACACGAGCCGCAGTTACCGAGGTGTGTTTATCCTCATCTAAAGTACGCAGTGAATTTTGCAGTCTATCATTTAGATCGCCTATTGCATGGCTGAAGGACAACTGGTTGTTGTCACCTTACATGCCAATAAATGTGAGTAATGTCAAGAAAGGAATGAGCTTGCTTTCCAACAACGTTTAATTCACCGCGTTTCTTTCCCAGACGATAAAGCAGAAGAAGTTGTGTTCCGTGAGTATGGATTGATGAAGCGGCTTTTGGGCGAGGCTTCATCAGGAGGTGTTTGCGATGTATCCGGTCTCGGAGGAGTGCGAAATGGGCAAGAAGCGTTGGAAGATATTTATTACGCTATATATCGTGACGGTACATTACGTGCCTGGAATGCTGAGGTCTATATCCGTCTAATCTTGAACGAAACAAATGTTTTGCATTTTTAGACTGAGAAAGTTCGTTCAATTGATGTTTGAAGCTCGATCTCACTGTGGACTATGGCGATACTTACTGTAAGTTTGCAAATTATGTTTATTCAAATTACTAAGCTTACGTCAGTTCTGCTCAACTGTCAGCTTTTCCTTTTTTGTCACTGCATTACATGTAGAATTCTTTCTTTACTATGATCTATATTGTTCAGTGAAGTCTTTTTTCGTGAAGGCTTATCTGATAGACTCACAAGCTGTCATTGTTGTAGCGATTTCTACCTCTAGAAATACTCAGGTGAGCCACTTTATCACCGCTATTGCTGAATAACTGCTTTATCTTCCAACTACTTATAGTATCGGTTTAGTTTCACTTCGTGTCGGACAAGCACCGTAAACTCACGCATATGTTCAGTATTGTTGCCAGAAATGTTAGTTTCACGGATTTAGTCATTTCGTAGTTCATAGATCCTTTCCACACATACCACGTACCTCTTATTACAATCTATCATTTTTTTGTTAAGGATGAAACATTGCTAGACTTTGGACTTACTCACAGAAACCTTGCTGCCCGTTCTCTCTGGGTCTTATGGAACTCGATGTCAACTGCAAATGAGTATATTCTTAAGCACGTGGATGTTGACATGTATGAATTTCTATGTTCCTTGTAGAGCTAACTATTGTTTATTTCTGAGGAAATCCCTCAGAGTTTTGCTTTCTCTATTTTTCTCAGCTAATAAGAGAATTTAGGTTGTTTAGATCACCCCAACATGTGGGAACTTGGCGTAAAGTACGGCCATACGCAGTTCGTAGCGCTGTCTCGCCTAGGAGGTGAACAAAGGTATGCAATTTTCTCTTCTCTGAGTGAAGCTAGTTATCTTTTGTTTGCAAAGTCACAAGCACTCCTCTTCTTTCTGTTCCCAGTTGTCTTCAGTTAACAAGCTTTTACAGTTTAGGTTCTTTTATTCCCTCGGGTGCACTTGCGATCAACTAGAACAGGCTGCTCGTGGCCCAGTCGGCCTTTTTTTGCTCGATATGCATTGTTTTCGTTTTGCAGATATGTGGGATATTGAATTTCTGTGAGGACGGTCGGCACCAGTTTGGCCAAGGTGTAAGTACTTATGCTAGCGGTGAATCTGTCAACTGGCTGACGACAATGTCTGACTCATTTCGGTACGGTTTTCACGTTTTTCTACCGACCAACATTCGCCTATGTGAAACGTCGCAAACCAGTCATCTATCGTTTTTAAGAGTCGCCGATGATATGGGCCAACTGCGACTGCAATTTAAACTGTTCCACAAACCGTTGTCTTGTTGGAAAGGTTCATTCTTTTACACCAGTGGGTGTGAAGTAATTAACGATATAAGATGATTTTTCGAAAGTTTGAAAAATTTGAAATAAATGTCTTATCTCTTCGTTCTTTCTTCTATCTTCTATCCACAAACGCTAGGGGTGAGAGGGAGGGGGTAGGGTACGGGGTGAGGGTCGCGCTGAACTCCTACCCCGGAGGGGGGCTCCTATTCGGCTAATTTGGGGGGGGGGGGTAGAGACAAAATTGGGGTTTGGAGCTTAAAGGCAGCGTCCAGGCAAGTCTGGACCTATGGGGATTTTACATGGAAAGTACTTTTGGGGCCCTAACTAAGCCACTGCCCAAGCGGCAGCTCAGGTAGTGCTGTAATGGCTGAGATATTCCCCTCGAAACTGGACCCCGCGACCGTGTTTCGCATGGATTCATGGCGCAAAGCGTGGATCCTGGCGCGAAACTGCCATGAATCCATGCGAATACGTTCGCGGGGGGTCTGTTTCGAGGGGAATATCTCCGCCATTACACTACCTGAGCTGCTGCTTCGGCGTGCCTTAGTTAGGGCCCCAAAAGTACTTTCCATGTAAAAGCCCCATAGGTCCAGATCTGCCTGGAAGCTACCTTTAATTAGGGCCAATTACAGTATGCCGCGACAGACTTGCGGAGTACAAAATCGGGGGGCTCCGGCGCACAAAATCGGGGGGCTCCGGAGCAGAAAATGGGAGGTGTCCGGAGCAGAAAATGGGAGGTATCCGGAGCAGAAAATGGGAGGTATCCGGAGCAGAAAATGGGAGGTATCCGGAGCAGAAAATGGGAGGTATCCGGAGCAGTAAATGGGAGGTATCCGGAGCAGAAATGGGAGGTCTCCGCCGGAGAAATGGGAGGGCTCCGCCGGACAAATGGGAGACCCACCGCTGGGGAAACGCCGCGACCCTGCCATTTCTCCGGCGGAGGGGTCCTATCCGCTGCCTGAGAACGTGTTAATACGTTCTGCATCACAGGTCCGCATTCGAAATCGAGACGTCGAGGGGTTTCCTATATGCTAAACCGCACTATTTGTCTCTACTTATGATTCCAATCTAAGATGTCATAAAGCACTACTATAACCACTTGTTTACCAGGTCTATTCATTTTCTGCATTCTTTGGCATTAGTCACTGTCTTCTGTGATGATCAAATTGATAAAGCTATCAGATTCAAGAGGAAAACACAATTTTTTATATTGAATGTGAATATCCACAAAATATATACACTTTCAAATTTTAAAACCTTGAGTTACATTGGTGAAAGCACAGTATAGCCCACGACCGTACACTGCCGAAAAACTAACATATGGTTCCGTAAACACTCTGCAGTAGAATTTGTTTACTTCTTTGAGCATCTGAAAAATGTCCATCGATGGTCGACAAAAGACCGATTTTACGCTCAGCAAGAAAGTTACTTTTGTTTAAGTGGATTGTTCCTTGTTGTTTCGATAGTTAGACCCGTAGCAAACCCGCATTCGGCTTAGTTAAAGTAATATAAGATGAACCTTTCAAAACTTCCTTAAACTTAAGATCGCCCATCTTTCCATGCTTTGAGATCAAGTGGCATTTTTCGACAATTGTGATTTATCATCGATATGCATACCAAAACATTGCAAATTTGTTTTATCTCTTCGTTCACTATGCGAAATTTATAGCGGTCATTGGCAATTTTTCGATAGTGGTCGTTATTAAGATTGCCCGGATATACAGTAAAAATCTATCCGCTATCATCTAAACGATAGCTCACTAAATGATGGAGAGGATGTGCCTTTAAATTAGGCCCACCCAGCCGAGTTGCGTTAAGGGAGGGTTTACTATGTGCTCTTGTCAGGCGTGTGATGCAAGTTGCTATCGGACATATTACAAATGGGTGTGGTGCGGAAGGCGACAAAACCCAGTAGAGGCGAGGGAACGGTGGCCACGCCTCCAACTTGCCTGCTGTTTAGTGCTGGCCTCGAGTCAATTAGACAGATTGACGCTCTTGTGGCGCATAGGCTGGCGCGTGAATGGTGGCGATATCCTCCTCGACTACTCTGTTTTGTCCATGAGAGTTCGTGTGCAAATTGGTAGGAGTGATCACTCAGTGTACGAAGGAAAGGTTACGTATTTGTGTGGAGCTGTAGATTGTTTAATGATAGCTAACTGATTGCAGTGTGAGATTTCGCAGCGAAATTCGATTTCGGTCACATTACTCACAAACCATATTTCGATTAACTTCCAGATTAAGTAAGAATAACCGAGTTGCATCAGTGTACTATGCGGTTATGTGGCTATCATTCGGATAGAATTGATTGAACACAATGAATGTTGCAAAGCAGTTCCTTTCAAGGCTCAAAGTAAGAAAAACCTCATTTTCTGGCGAAATGTCAACATTAGTTTGTATGTAGGCGAACCGCAAACTCGATAAAGCTTCGCGACCTATGGTCTTTGTCAATGCTTCAATTTTCATAGTTTTTCTGCTGTTTTGCTTGACAGTGCAAAAAAGAACACTTTATTCACAAGAGAAATTGCACCAGAGTATAGGACAAAAAGGAAATGATACAATGATAAATGATATGGTACATTTTACCTGTAGGTCCACCCTGAAAAAAAAATGAATCATAAGGAAAGTCGAATTTTGATGTAGAATACAACTTTACAACAAGAACAAAAAATTCCTGTACTGAGTTTCCAAAGTTTTTTTGTAATTCTATTTGTTCCACATAGTCATTATCGACAATAGTATCTACAAGGGACCATTATGTGTTTAGAAATACTGCTTACAAGTGAGTGAAGTCACGTTAACATACCATCTCTTTGAGAAAAGAAAAGAATCTACGACCCTTAGATAACGATATTAAAAAACCATATAAATGCACAAAAGTGAGAAAAAGCAACATCTAGCATTGATAACTCGAGCGTAAGTAGCACAATTACAGAATGCTCACATCAATGGCTTTTGAGCTCGTCTCTGTTCGAATGCACTTATGGACATCCACCCTTCAATGACAGAAAACGGTTTGCGATGTTAAAGCAGAAAAGGAGTGAGTGAGAGCGCTTACCTTTCATAAGTCCATAGCTATGGCTCACGAAGTTGAAAGCAAGGACTTTCTGCGTATATCTGAACTAAAATGAAATGAATAAGTCGCACAAACAATTTGATGATGACAAAAAATGCTAACTATGAGTAAGGCGAGAACATTCACAAAGTGATATTGACTAAATAAGCAAATTGTAAAATGCAAAAGTAGAAAAGCACAGGACACAAGAAAAAATCATACCTCTAATGAATCAGTGGACAAGTCCTTTTAAGTCGCTCATGTATATGTACGTCTTCTATGAGGACTCCTGCATCAAACATTACTCCTGTGAGCAAAGATGTTTACACAGAACGTGAAAGATATACAACTAATAAATGATAGATACGAACAGAGACAAAAACGTGATCGCACAAGAAACGAAACATGTAGAAAGCGTGCAGTCGCGCTCCAGTACAAAGATTTGAATGGCTGATTGGGGGAGAACTCGGACAGGGCGCCACTAGTCGCGCCCGTTCCAGGGCATTTGTCGCCTTCCGCGTGTTCCCCATTACAAATCAATCGCCACTAGACATAGTGCCAAGCAACGATCAAGAACTCTAGGTTATCAATCTACCAATAACAAAGGATTTTTAATATGATGCAGTTTTCGATCTCCATCATCCATTCTAAACTAAGAAACTCGAAACCGCCTTCACTATCACTCACTAATGCTTGTAGCTCGTTTTTACCTGGTTCCAGTACTAAGTAACTAGAGAGATAGATCACAAGTACAAACTTGTTGGCCAAAAGTAGCCAAAAGTTCAAGCTTTTTTTTACAATTTACGCAGTGCGGTTTTGGGCCTCTTAGCAGGGAAGGCACCTAACTTAGCTCGGCCTTTTGATAACAGACATAGACAGGGTGTCCCAAAAAATGTGCCTACTGCTTGATTGTTTATAACTCTCTTGGCACGAAGTCTTGCGAATAGAGGTGGCTTCAACTTAGATTTACAGTATGGAATAGTGAATGTGAGTGAATCAGTGATCGCCCTTAAAGCTGCCCTTTAAAATAATTTTTGAAAGAAATCTGGAAACTTCAGTGATATGGGTCTGTCTGTGAATATGTGGGTTTTCGTAGACGGTGAGTTTAGTACTCAACTTTGTACAAAATTGTGAAGCTTTCTAAACTGGTAAACTCGCAAATCATCACGGCATCAAATCATGGCTCTTTCCATTGGAATCATGTCGATTATGAAAATCAATTTTCTTGAGAGATTGATTTTTTTGACTTTTTTCCCAGAAATCATAACTTTTTACAGAAGAGCTCAATTAGCACAAACTTTGCTCACTTATAAGAGGTAGGGAAACTTATGATGTTGGCTGTTCTGGATTTTATTGCACAGTTTTCGAATTTTTTATGGGCTTGCCTGAAAATTCCTAACCTGAAGTGATTTCCTTTTCCCGTTTTTATCTCTACAGTCAAAGCATATCAAAGTGATTAAAGTGTCATTAGAAAGAGCATAAATTACTCTTACAAAAAAAAGTTCCGAGCAAGAACAGCATGAGAAAAAAGTTACGACTTTTGAAAATGGTGCGAGCGAACTTTCGGCGCAACCTATTCAATACTTATATAATATTAGGTTGGCACATAAGTAGTGCAACTCTTTATATAACTTTTGTCTATTTGAACGTAGCGCATTCATTTTTTGGCAAAATAAGGAATATGATGTAAGCTTCTAATGCACACATTTTTGCCGAATTTTACCATCTTATGTGAGGATTACGGTAGGTTTACGGTATTATGGGAAAAATTTTAGAATGCATCAGATTTTGCTGAAACTTGGCCTATAAAGCTTATTTGACATGCTGATCACAAAAATGAGATCCGTTTCGCATGAAAAGGCCTCGTTCGTGAGATCAAAAAATGAATTTCATTTCAGCGACAAATGAATATGATATTCGTGTTTAACGCATAGGATTACTCTATAGTGCAAAGTTATAGCGAATTCTGACTTTTCGCAGCTTAGTTATTGACAAATTGCCTTTAAAACTTGACGCATTTGACTTGTTCAACTTCTCAAAGACGCCCCACCTTAATTTGTGTTTAAATTTCGTTTCTTTTACACTGATTCCAAAGTGCCAACTTCCAGCTACATGCTGCCTATAATTGCTTTTTCATATGTTTGAATCAGGTTTCGTAGGGCTTCATGTTTGCCAAAAAATCGTGAAACCTCAATTTTCAGCAGTTTTCAAAAAATGTTTAGATTTTTTGTACTACGTTATCAAAAATCAAACGGTTTGAGCAGACTTGCAGCCTACAACACATTCTACATGATGCCACAAAATGAGATTGCTACATAGAATAGGAAAAAAGTTATGGGAAAAGTTGCAAAACTTATGTGCCAACCTAATATTTGATTAGTAAGCCTATTTTTCCATCACCACTGACTTATCAATTTTTTGCGTTTTCTGCCTAGCGATTATGACCGGCCTAAACTGTTAGAAAGAATCATGGAATTTGAAGGAACTTTGCGCACATAAATTTGAAGCGGGTGTTATTCAGTTTTTTCACCTCAATAGGCTTTATCGACTTATTGATTGCGCATTGTTAGCTCTGTGGAGCTAAAAAGTGGTAAGGGATAGGTAACAAGAGAATGGTTAGAAATCGAAGTGGCCAATCCAGACAAGCTGCATAAAATGCAGCATAAAACGTTGACTTCAAATCTGTATTCCGTATCTGCTTATCGCCTTTGTGGACGAAGTTATGAGCCGTTAAAGGCATTACTTTGATAAGAAATCGTGCATGCAAAGCGCAGATTTGGCAGTACAAAGCCATGTTAGGCTTCATGCTAGGCCAAATCGTGCACCTAGCTTACTTTATATTTTTAAAGCCTAAAGGTGAGCTGAAAGTGCAACAATGTGCTCAATTTCGCAAATTTTATGTACGGTTATTTTGCAATAGAGCTGCGCATACCTTCGTCCACGGCGATAAGCAGATATGGAATATAGGTGCAAAGTTAGGTTCAATGCTGCATCGAATGGTGGGCAGCTTGCTTGGATTGCCCACTTCGACTTCTGACCATTCCCTTGTAAGCTTGGTCATTTCAAATAAAATATCTTTAACTTTAATCATTAATCTTTTCCACTTTTGATTCTTTTTTAATTTTTTGAATGTCATTTTCTGGAGGCTGCTGATATCTAAGTATGCCAATCTTTCGCAGCGAGATCCGCCAATCGGCTTAGCTTATCAACAAGACCGAAAATGGTTGTTCATCCACAACACCCTGCACAACCTGCACAACCTGCACAACCTGCACACCCTGCACCACCTGGACACCCTGCACACCCTGCACATCCTGCACAACCTCCACAACCTCCACAACCTGCACACCCTGCACAACCTGCACAACCTGCACAACCTGCACCCGGATGTGCACAAACACGCAAACGCACTCACAGATTTTCCGCTTTATATATATAGATTAAGATAATCTTTAAAAATTTTGAAAGTACAATATAGCCTTGTAAAAAAATTTTTTCCAGAGCGTGGTCGCCGCCATGCCACCTTTTTCTGAAATTTTGGGGTTAGGGGCCCTGAAAAATTTTAGAAAACACCCCAAAAATTTTTTCGGACTGCGTGCTAACGCCACGCACCTTCATCCAAATAAATTTTGTCGCCCCCCCCCCCCCGAACGGAAATCCTGGGTATGCCCTGATATATACTAACTGGCTTACCCGGCTCCGCCCTGCCCTGTCGAAACGCTATGACAAAGCTCCCATCTCTATCCCTGCACAATCCCTATGCCCACTTCTACATACCAACTCCAATTCCATATTCCCGCTGTGTTAGTTTTCAGCATGCTCACTTATCCCTGTGCGAATTCCCAGGCCCGTAACTCAAAATTTACAAAAAATCGAAAAAAAGTAACGGATAATTTCAAGAACTAATGTTGCTAATCAGCATGCTCGATTACCCCCTGCGCCAACTCCCAGCCCCGTTTTCCAAACTTCGCAAGAAAATCGATAAAATCGATAAATTCGATATCAATCGATGACGAAAAGTGGCCTATGACACCCGCCGGGTCCCGAAGTGTATGTGTGCAAAGTTTGATCTGAATTGGTTCAGAGATAAAATTTTTTATTCGGATCATACGTACAGACATACAGACATGCAGACAAACAGACATTCACTTTTATATATAAGATACTAGCTGGCTTACCCGGCTCCGCCCGGCCCTGTCAACGATAAAGGTTCCATTTCTATCCCTGTGCACCTTTACCTGTGCCCACTTCTACATGCAGTTCCCTATTCCCGCTTTTTGAGTAATTAGTATGCTCATTTACCTTCCTCACCAACCCCTCAGCCCCGTAGCTCAAACTTTGCAAAAAAAAAAAACAAAAAAACGGTAAAAGTAAGGATAATTCTAAAGACTGATGGCGTTACTCGGCTATCCGGGCCCTCAAATGTTTTTGTGGTGTGTCCTGCTCAAACTTGGTATATGGGGTTATTCAAGCAGCTGATGACGAATATGGTAGTCATTTCGCTTGGCAGCGGGTAAAAATCATGAACCTGCCTGAAACCTCGGCAGGGAATTACCTAAAATGCTGTTTCAAGAATATCGTGCTTGATCCCCATGATAATGGTAATTCGTGTGGTATAAAAGTCTCCCACGACCGTAACGCTTTCCTTATAGGACCACTGCAGCGCGCGATACACCCTTCGGTGGCTTTTGCCTAAGCAAAGAACAGGGAGGGGGAGATTTGCCACATACGTTACGCGTTGGGACAGATTATCAGGATGGCGCTGGAGACCGCATTGCAAAACGACCGACTCCCCATTTCGTGAATATCTGGGATCCAAATTGGCCCGAAAGCGAAAAAATGTCCATCCATACCCCGCACAACTCACCATAACTTCACTAATGCGTTATGACAGCGAGCAAGCATCATATTCATAAGCAGTATACTTCTGAACCGTTACAGATAAGGTTTTGAGCAAATCTGGAACTTCAACCCATCTACACCCACCGTAATCCAAGAAAATGCACTACCTGCGAAATCAGCATGATATTTATGTTCAGCTCGCTAAATGACCACCCTAGACGAAGTTCAAAGCAACTCTAGGTTTTCGACCCCATACCGTATAACCACAATAACTCTATGAAAAGGTCACAATATGCAGAGAGAGTATGAAATTCGTAATCAGCATGTCGAATAAATTCTCTGGACCAAAATTCAGCCGAATTCATGATTTTGGCTCCCTACTATACACCTACCATGACCACACGGGGAGACGAAAGTGTGACATTTGTTTCAGCACGTAAGATAACCCTTATACACGAAGTTTGAGCAAGCTCTACGACAAAGAAACTTTGGAGCTCGGATAGCCGGCCAAACTCATATTGCACGTAATCAGCATGCTCAATTACCCCCTGTGCCAACTCCCAGCCCCGTAGCTCAAACTTTGCTAAAAATCGATAAAATCGATAAATTCGATATCGATCGATGACGAAAAGTGGCCTATGACACCCGCCGGGGCCCGAAGTGTATAGATCTTATCAAATTGGGTGTCGTTTGCACCAGCATCTCCATCTTCGCGCTGGAATCTGCGTCTCTTCCGCGGCGCTGCTCTCTAAGCACTTTCCCAGGGCGAGCGTGGGAATGGCGGAGCCTCAATCGATTGGAAGTGGTTAGGGAACATGTGCCGCAGAAGAGACGCAGAGTCGAGCGCGAAGATGGAGATGCTGGTGCAAACGAGACTCAATTTGATAAGCCCTACATGTGTCCAAGTTTGGCCCGGATCGGTTCAGAAATGGAATTTTCTATTCGGAACATACGTACAGACAGACAGACATACAGACAGACAAACAGACATTCAGCTTTATATATAAGAATGTCTATGTGCAGATGGCCGAGCTATGTTGGGTGCCTTTCTTTGTTAGTCTCTTAAGAAACTATACATACCCGGCAAGAATGATATTTTCTGTGATCACTTCCTTCATTATTGTTAATGATGTCTTGAAGCAAATCTTCTGCCATCGCGTTCATTTTGCAGCTGGAACTTAGTCATTGTTTTGAAGGAGTGTGAGAATAACACAGACGGAAAACGGCCCTTCTGCACCGCTAGCCTTAGAAGCCTAATTACTGCGCGCCTTTGATTGGTCGGCGCTAGAGAGCTAGGCTGTCGCTAGGGACGCAGTCGCTTTGAATTGGACGGGTTATGCAAAACACTTCTCCAAAGAAAAAATATTAAAGAAGATCCTGAGATTTACAGAAACTCAAAATGTTTCACCTGGTGTCTTGACTAGGTTTTTCAGGTCAAACATGGAATTTTACGGTGTTTTGGAGAACTGGGAAGGGGAGGATTACAAAATAGTGAGTAAGGATATCAACCCTCACAATTTCTTCCTTCATAAATAAAACATCGCCTCTATTATTGTTCGAAAGAGTGTACTTGCTTGGTTTAAAGCTCTCAATATTTGAAAACTCTGCCATTATAAAAAAGGAGGAGTAATTAGCGCCGCCCTAGGGCAGAGTGATAAGCGCTAGGACGCAGCGGTGCAGAAGGGCATACACCAATCCAAAGTGTTATGACTCACCCATTATTTCCTGCTCTGAATATACGCACTTTATCTGATCTCTTCTTACCCTTTGAGAATGCGATGAGGTATTCTTCTATCCAAGAATGGTACTCCTGAAATAGTATTCCGTTGGGGAAAAACGGTGTTCAAGCGATTCAAATCACTTGAGCGACTCTTGTGGATATTCCTCCACATTTCACATTTCAAAACATAGATTTGATGGTTTAATATGTAGACTGACCAGATTCAATTCGACACAACCACAGTATTTCTGAAATGCCTTTTTTATGTGGTGTTCCCAGTTCTGTCCAGCGCACCAGTAACCACCAGCGCCATGGGAGATTGGCAACAGCTGGAAAATGTCCGTCATCACCGAGTCTTGAAGGAATGCAACTCACAGTGAGGAGAATATAAAACTTTGACATGGATATCACGTACAGCTTTTTAGAAGCATTTATATTGACATTTTTCGAAAGGATTTTGAATGTGGAATGTGACTAAAAAGTGCTGACTGCTCTATTGTCCAAAGTCGTATGGAGCTAGAGTACACCAATGTGTGGGCGAGTGGAATCGAATGAGTCTATAAAATTAGGTTATCTAACAAAGTTTGTTACAAAAGTAATTTGTCGTTTCATATTGTCATTTCGTCAATAAGAAGATCGATTTCTATTCTTTTTTTTTGCTGTTTGCTGATTTACATGATTTTTATGTCAACAACTTTTTGCGGGTTCGATAGGAAGGCTGAATGTATTCGTATACTTAACAATTTTGAAGAATGTACAGACACTACACTACACGCACGCAAGTACTCAACTATCAGCATGCATTTTTTGACTCTAAATGTTTTGGAGAAAATAGTGCAAAGTTAATCAAGCAACAACCCATTTTGGTGATTTTTTTTCCATGTACAATGAATTTCGCTAGCAAGTCTCAGCCATAGAAGTATGGAAGAAATTTCAGGCTATATGAGTTGTGATACCATTGAAATTATTTCTCTTCCTTTAGAAAAACTGTTGATCATGGGGCTACAGTAAAACCCGTTGCTCATTACAGACTCAAATAAATGTCTTCAATACACTGTCCACATAATCATACGCTATCAAATACTTGTCAGATTTGAACTTCAAAAGGCTGACAATTTCTTTCGAAGAGCCGCTCAGCATATATTGAGAGCAGCTTTATAATCTGACCGGGTAAGAATGGTGTCATGAACTCATATCAAGCACGTATACACCGCTCTCAAAAGGCCACTTACACAATCTTTGCTTATGAGACGCGTTTTGTAAGTCGCACAGGCCAGAGCGAACAGGGAGTAGCTTTCCGAAAGTGTTTTGAAGCTAGAGAACCAGAAAACCCAAGAGTCGATTTCTGTGCTGTGCTTTCTGTCAATTCCGATAATATATGCACGTGGTATTCAAACGGCGCTATGGTTTAGTAGATTCTTGAAGTTTAAATGAGAAGCAGATCTTTGTCTGAATCAAATCACAATTGGTAAAAAACAACAAGGAAGAAAGCAGAAAGTTACCATTAGTCTACTGAGTGAAACAGATAGCAGTTGGCCGCTTGTGCGGCTTCGTGCACCGTTGCACCAACTACTGTTATCGCGCCCCAGCCCGTGCACGATGACGGGAATAAGACCCTTCATTATTGTGCAGAAAACGTGAAATAAAAAACATTTTTCAGACTTTTCAAAATAAAAATCAGGTTGAACCGAAAGTTCTCTCGCACCATTTTCAGAAAATCGTAACTTCTTTCTTTTACGATAATATACGACAAAATATAATTAATTAGAGCAAAGTGTATACTTTCCAAGGGCGCCATAACTGCTATCCAATAAGCTTTGAATGCAGAGACAAAATTGGAAAAAGGAAATAACTTCAATTTCGGAATTTTGAGGCAAGCCCGTTAAAATTCCAAAACTGTTCCATAAATTCCAAAACAGCAAGTATCCTAGGTTTTTTGTTCCCCTCTTTCTAGTTGAGTAAAATTCGCGCTAATCTAGCTCTTTCAAAAAAGTTATGGTTTTCGAGAAGTAATGCCAAAAAACAGCTCCTTAACACTTCACGACACGTACGACCCACCGGTGGGTCGTACGTGTTCTGCCATTTCGGAGTAAATGACCCACCGGTGGGTCGTCGTAAGAATCCTGAAGCTCTAGCTTTGCCTGTTCACTATGGAATTCTACGGAGTCTGGAACATAACTGGGAACACCTAGGCAGCTCCAGCCAGAATGGTCCGGGCTCGGGGTACTGTAATGCAATGTTACGGTAGGTATAACGTAGATAGATACAAGGCACAGACATTAGCTCATTTCTTCGCAGAATGATGCTGGTGGAAGATCAAGTGTACATGCACGAGTGGGGCGGGCAAGAGGCTGACGTTAACCCACCGAAAAAATTATCGATCATATTGATTTCAGTGACTTTTTGCATTGTTTATCCCAGAAAGTCACTATGTAACATTCAACGATTTCTTGTTTACCATTTGGCCCCAGATCCGTGGAACACGGTAAGTGAGGAGACAGCAGACGGAGAAAAATTATGATGAAATACACTAATCTTCTACTTTGTATTGCTGCCAATGCATGCGTTTTGGAATACTGCCAATCATAACAAGCGACCGAAGCATGTTTTCGTAAAAGGGTCACACCATTTCGAAATTCAATTCTGAGCGTTAAGAGTTGCAGTGACTTTGAGATCGGGTCTCCAGTGTCCGGGTGTTGTACAAACTGTTTTTTTTTTCATGTGCTATCCCAGAATGTGTTGGTCAAATATATTGTGGTCCTACTTGCTCTTGGAATGATGCCAAACTGCATAACAACATAATTCAGCTAAATTTGTGTATGTTTTCGTAAGACTCTTGGCAAAAAGTACTCCGAAAACGTTCAGCTGGAAAAATCTTTCTTCTGATATCAGACAGGAGAGCGCGGAGTAACTTCTTGCTGGTGCTTTCGGAAACATTTATTCTTGACCAGCCTTGCTTCTGCTTGTGTGACTAGGTCCCGCTGGTGCTTTCGAATAGATGTCGGTGTGTAAGCGGCACGTAGGGCAAACTGATCGTTCAGGGAAGCAGAATGTACCTTTGGGGCAGTTCATATGATTAAACCTCAAGTGACGTAGGCAATTTGATATTACGTTGCAAGTCGATTGATTTCGAATAGAATTTGTATGTAAGCGGCACGTAGGGCAACTTGATCGGGCAGGAAAATATATAGATTTCTGTACGTTTGAGGCAGTTCTTATAATTGACGGTCCTCAGGTAGAACGTAGGGCAATTGGAGGATCGTTCAAAAAAAGTTGATTACATCTGCTTAGACCGCTAAATATAGTGACAGAATAGCGCAAGAGAATTCAATACTTATGGTTTTTAAGGATGGGGTCTTTTTTCTTTGTAAAATTTCATGTTTTATAATTTGACGAAATCCTAACTTGAAGAATTTTTTGACAAGTCTAAAGAGAACTGATTTTGTTGCCGTCAAAACTGACTGAAAGAAAAGCTATGTTCATTGCGGTATACATCTTTGTTATGAATGTTACTTTTGAAACGATGTGTATTCTATTAATTTTCTAACAATCCATGAAACTTGTAAAGAAAAATACGACAAAGCATATTTTTCGAGAAAGTAGGAGGGTGAAATCTTTTCATTATCCGAATGAGTCTCCGTGAGAGGAAATGGAGGGGGGGGGGTTGCAGGAAAAGCGTGGTAATTGAATTTTTCCTTAATATTGCGAAAAAAGTTTTCCTTAATCTCGTATGGTTATGGCAGGGCTTTCGAAAAATGCTGGATGATTTGTGGAATTTATTGCTCCTTGAGCGGTTCTCCTTTTGAAATGCTTCTTCACAAAATGTTTGCAGAAAGGAGTAGGAAATTTATGTGGAGATATTTTTAGTCACGATTAAACCTAATCTTGTATCTGTCCCGACCAGGGTCAAGCGTGTGATGCGACTGTCGCAATGGGGGGGGGGGGTCGTAAAGGGGGCCTACGGTGAGGGGGGGGGGGTCGTAAGAGGGGTAGTTTGGATAAAACGGTACGATTGAAAGTAAATCAAATAGCAAGTAATTATTACATGTTCTTAATAATAAATCCATGGAATGCCGTGTACCAATGTATCAACTAAAAATGAGTGAACAGTAATTTGAAAACATTTGCAAGCGTAGAAGTTCGCTTCATTTGCTGCATTTTGAAAGTATATGACTTAGTTCTTTTTTTATGGGAATCGCTATTTCTCCCGCAAAATAATGTCTCAAACGGGGATCGAACTCTGCTGGCATGACTAAAATCCAAAAAATAAACACTTTCAGAAGCTCAAATGCTCTAAAGGCATGTACGTGTGATAAAGATGTTGGATGTACCGATTGGTGTAGACATCCTGCTTTCGAAGACTCACTGAAGACTCGACAAAAGCGCACATGTAGATTAACGATGACAATCAATAATTCGTAAATCTTTTTGTAATGCAATTTATGCGGCCCTTACAATTTATATGTACTTTAGATAAGCCCTGCTACTGCTGTGCGAAATCTGGTGTTATTTTATAAACTGAGGATTTTCTTATGATTTTATGTATGGTAGCAAAAAATGAGAAAAGGGGGGTCGTATCTGCGCCTGATCTAAATTTCTCCGGAGCTATTGAAGCTTGTTAGCTGCAAACTTGCTGTAATAGAGGCCATCCCTTTAGTTTTTATCGTAAGAATTTCAGGCTGTTTTATAACTTCTCTGGTAAGTTACTTTAAGCTCAAAAATCCCAGTTTTCGCTTTCTAGGATCGCATCTAAATTTGCGAGAGCCTGATCTAAATTTTTTCGAGCTCACTGCTCCTCAAGGGCTGAAACTTTTTCTATGAATAGTCTAGGCACTATGCTACAGAACCTGTTCTTTGCAGCCTCTCAGTCTTTTCCTGGCCTTAGTTACGAATTTTCAAACTACCGTGCTCATGCATGTTTTTGACGTCGGTCTGGACGGCGCTAAAGCGGTTTTTTTTTTCGCGGGAAAAACTGTGGAAGAGGTAAGAACTAAGCTTCTTTGTCGAAAACATCTTTTGTAGTTCAAGAATGTCATTTTGTTCTCCGTGTAAAAAGTTGTGTCGCATACGGGAATCGAATTTGCTGGCCTGAAGTATGCCTGAAAATTTTGAAAAAATGTAGAATCTCAATAATTGAAGGTGTGTATATGTGCTAGAGATGCTGGGCGCACCCATTGGCCTAGAAATTCTGCTTCCGAAACCTCTGAAGTTCTCACACAGGTGTTTTTTGAGATTGACATTCGTTTATGCAGGTTACCGCGAGAAATGTGGGCAGGGGAGGTAAGGGGGAAAGATGGGGGAGGGGAAGGGGGGGGGAGGGGGGGGGGGGTCGTACGGATGGGTACTT